AAAAACTTTTTCAATTTAACAGGCCAAATAACAGCTTCTTTTAGTGCTTCTTTTGCTTGTTCTAAACCAATAACATCGTTAAATGTTACTTTTGGATCTGCGACGATAGCGCCTAAATTTCAATACAAAAAAAAAATAATATTTTTGTAAGAGAAATAATAATGTATGTGAACCTTCAAATTTTTGTTTAAGTTGTTTATAATCTGAATCACCACTATCACTACTATTTTTATTATTCTTTGCATTTTCATGATCATTGCAACCATCGGCAATTGGCTTTTTCTTCAGAATCAAATTGATTTCTTCTGCTCGTTTTACATAACTCTCTATTTTAGGTCTTATTGTTTGTTTTAATTGTGCATTCATTCCTCCATCTAAAGAACAAACAGTTGAATGTGATTCGGAAAAGCAATCTATCCCGTTCATTTACATTTTATTGCTTGCATGAGCCAATGAGCTGCTGTCATATAATGTTGTACAGCAGCTTCATAATTGTGTGCTTTATCATCTGCTGTTGCTTGCTCAGCATTTTGAATACCTTTCTATCGAAAAGAAAGTAGAGAGTATGTTGAACAAGCAATTATAATGATAGATGAAATATATTACCTGAATATAATCACTTTGATCACTACTCATTGGTTTTTAGCGACGATAGAATACTACAAAAATAATCAATAGATGAAAACTTTTGAAATATTATCAAAGCAATCATTAACTTGTCACACGACTTTGGAGAGCCGCGGATTCAACTACGGATATGATACTCGAATTTTAAACCATTGTTTGAAAGAAAAAAAATATCTATAGACAGAGGTAGGTTTTTTGTCATCATATATGGAAATCTCCAGCTATTCACTATTGATTTCTACATTTCGAAAATGAATTTTAGATATGTACTCGTCACATTTCTACACTTTGAACAAGCTTTTCTCAGAGACGATCAAAGGTTCAGGTTAGAAAAACGATTGGTTAACTGAAATTGTGACTCAGGCGTTAAGGAGGAAACGATGATAACCTATCGACTGAAAAATAATAAATTGGCAAACTACGATTCGTATTGTCAGTCGATTTAAAAATGGTTTAACTATTCGAGTAGTTAACGAGAGAATATATTCAACTGGTTATCATCAATCGAACCCATTTCTTGTTCACAATTTATTTGCATAAAACTAGCGACAATAATGTACACAAAAAACAAAGAAAAATATATATATTTGAAGAAAAAGCGATCAATAAAATATCTTACTTGATGTTGATAAAAGAACAATAAAAAAATCCTACGTATGGTTAATTTCTCTGCATGTATCAAGCAAGTCGAATCGAAACTTTTAACATGTTCATCACATCTCTCACATTAATTATTATAAGCAGTAAGTTACTTAATCTACCATTGGCTAACAAAAAAAGTTTTTGAAACAAAAACGTGCAGAATCTCTGTCGACGAGATGATAGTCAACCAACAGACTCTTGCCAGAACTTCATGAAAAAGCATATTTACTATGAGAGGAACGACACCTCATACAGGGAGTGGAGTGAGAGAAAAAATACGATTACTAATTTGGCATGTTGAATTGTGTAATACAATGAGTCATATCCACTGAAAAAAAAACGAAGTGAATAAAAACAGGTAGAGAGACGACACAGTGACAGACATTACTAATAGTGTGTTGTCGAAAAGAAATCTGTTGCGTTCTGTTGAATCATATAATAATCTTCTTGTCGAGGTAAGGAGAAATTTTTTCATCGCATTTCTCTCTATCTCTCTTATAACAATGTCACGCATTACACAACGCGGCGGAAATGTGGACTTTGCATACGAAAGAGCATGAGTCAATATTGTTTTCAGATGATTCACACATATTATTTTCAACATTAATCTCTCCATACCCAGGCAAGCAAAAAATAAGCGAGAACTCCTGACATGACTAGCCTAAAATGTCTGCACTACCGTCTGGCCTAGTCTAAAATGTCCGCGCTACTGTCTGATCTAGTCTGAAATGACTTATACTGTTCAGATGCGTCAGCGTAATGACAAAAGTCAGAAGAAAAGGAGACGATAGGTGAATTCGAACATTCAATTCGACAATATTGGATACCTGACTAGTCTAGACTGTTTTCAATAGTAATGCGGATTAGTATGAAGAGTTATCTGTACTAGTCATGACTAGTTGCTTTTAAGAAACTAGTGCCAGTTCTGATTCAGACTAGTCTAGACTCTTCAAACAATCTTTTTTGCTTGAACTTAATTATCCGGACAACTCGTTTAGACTTGTTTGTATCAAGACTAGAACGATGTATCTAACGAGAGTTGCCTATTTATGTCCTTTAAATTTTTAGATTGTAATAACAATTAAGAAAAATTAATTTTAGTATTTTCCTATGAGAATATTATTTTATTTTAGCATAAAATCTGATGATGTGAAGTTAAAAATAGATTTAAACCATAGGATTATAGTTTATTTTCAAATTTAAATTGGAAATATTATAAATTAAAATAAAATGTAAATCATGATATGAAAAACAAGATTTTTTTGGAAATATATATTATTTTTATTTTGTTTTGAAATGTTAATTGTTTCTCAAATGGAAAATTAAATTTTTCAAATATCGATGATCAAAAGAAATTTTGTTTTGAAGAAAATTTTAAAAATTCTAAATTAGTTTTATTTAGCCCTATTTAACTAATTTTCAATTTTATAAAAAGTATTTTTTATTAATATTAAAACTCGAGACAACGTCGAGTCAAACAGTATTAATTAGCATCTTAGAATTTGTATTGACACGTAAAAGTTGATCACTTGATCATATGGTTCAATCGGATAAACGATGGGTAAGTAACATATGGTATGCATGTTCGAATCTAATTTTCTGCACATATTTCTATCATTTAAACTAGTTCGGACTAGACCGCTACATAGGACTAGATCCTGATAGATGTCGAGTCACAGACGCTCTTCCTTTTTTAATTTATATTCTATTTCGGACTAGTCATGTAGTAGTTCGTCTTGAGAAGAAGGCTATACCGGACGTACTATCAGGAGTAGATATGAGACTAGTCTTTTTACCCGTCTTTTGCTCACCTGTGTATCGATTTCTGTTTGGCTTACCCGAATTTCGCCAATAAGACTTTCGCCAACCGGATATTCGCCAGTGGCGAAAGTCCACTGTACTTTCGCCAACACACTACCTGGATTCTCATCAATTGGCGAATGTCCACTGTACTTTCACCAATACATCCTCCGGAATTTCGCCAATTGGCGAGAGTCCACCGAACTTTCGTCAATGAATCTTTGGACTCTCGCCAATTGGCGAATGTCCACTGCACTTTCGGTAGTGTGCGAGCATCGTATGTCAGTCAAAAGCACACTAGTATAAAGTATATATATATATATTATATAATAGAAAGAAGAAAAGAGTTATCCTTTGCCAAATTTACACAACACATCTGCTGCTATTCGGCAGATGTCCCTTGCTACTTATACAAGAAGACCAACTTAAATTCAGAATAGGGTCGGAGTGTATCATCATCGAAACTAACAGAGGGTAGCTTACGCGTGAATTGCAAAGATCTTCATCGTCTACATTAATTA